ACACACACACACACACACACACACACACACACAATGGAGGAATGGAGGAGAGAGAGGGAGACTCTAAAAGCTCTTTGCTCCGGTAGACCATCAGATCATCAATTAGTTTGTATCCATTTGATGCACACATACACACACACTTAGAGATAGATAGAGATAGATAAAGAGAGAGAGAGAGAGAGAGAACTCAATAACCATAACTAGAGTGGGTGAAATTGTGTTTCAGAGAATGTCATGACAGAAAAATAATCCTTGTTTCGGGTCATCCATTGTGGGCGAGATCAGATTACAATATACTACCACAGCCATAACCATGGGGTTCTCTGTGCTGAGGGCCTCCATAACACAATGTATTCTTCCTGATCACAGTTCACTGAGGGCCATTTTTTCAACAGGTTAATAGTTCCCTGTCATTCACTTCCCATGAGCCACATTAAGTGCCTCAGCTCATTACGTAAAAAGCTCACATGGCACTTGCAGTTCACTTGTGGGTGAGCACATCTGTGACCCTTAATGTGTGCATTTGATGTGCGTGATTTTCCACTGACAGGGCAAATCATTTGTGTTTTGCCGCCTGCCTCTACATCCTGGCAACCGTCCCTCGTTAACTCTCGTCCTCTATACAGCTTTGAATCCGTCACAGCGCTTTGAAGGGTTTATGACTCATAAATAATGTTTCCACGCAGATTACTGCCTCCACAATAGAGAAGCGATCCATTGCTAGCCCCAAAATGGCTGCCTGTCCTTGAGTTTCTGTCCTTTACCAGCAAATTAGTGGTATGAAAGAAGAAGCACCTAATTGATGCCAAATCAAAGAACCAGAGAAATCAAGGATATTGATATATGAATTCAAACAGGTTTGACTTACATTTATATACTACTATATATATATAAACTACATTTATATGCTACTATCAGATTGTTCCGTGTTAAATTACGTTTACCACAGAGCTTTCGAAGAAAAGAGTTTTACTAGTCAGGGCTTAAAACTCTTTTTATAAGGAACAGAGAAAATGAACGGGTATCTTACTTCCAGAACCAGAACCAGACAGTCACTCTTATGATCTATTTGCAGCCCAGAACTGTTTCTCAAGATTATTCCAACGTGATGTTGCTGAATGTTCTGTGCATAATGACACATTCTATTTTTATTTTGTTATTGACAGTGATGTCGTCTTACATAAACTAATCCCTCTATTTTTTGGCGCTTCTTCTCGCAGAATCACATAATGATGACTTGAGACACCCTTGTCTGGTGTCTCAGCATGTAATAGCCAAAAATAGAGAGACGCTATCACTCGCCTACGTTGGATTATTTAACAAATACAAATACAAGTGTTTGCTGGCAGTGCAGATTGTCCCAGAAATATGTTAGATTCCCAGAGCAGAGCGGAACAGTTCAGTTTCAAAGTGTCCTACTTATGATGCTGATAAACCTACTTCTGATGCAGAACACTTGCAAAAAGGAATATTCATACATCAGGCTACTGCTTTATGACCACATCAATTTTTTTCTTGCAGTAAAAGATTAATGTCCCTTCCTTCATTCGCAGAGTTCAGGACTTGGGCGCCGAGGAAACCAATCGAGGGTGTGTTATAGTGAGAGGTTAGAGGTGTGTTGTAGTTCTTGTACTGTGATGTAAAACTAGTTTCTGTAGGCAACAATGATTTTCACTGGGGAAGCGCTTGATAATACCGTCTGATTTTGGACAGTATTATCAAGTGCATCCCAGTGAAATCATTGAACTGGTCGCCATCCCGAACAAATAGAGCAGAAATGATTTCAATCCCAGTCTCCCTACTGGGCAGGCCAATCAATGCGCTTCACCCTCTAACTCCATCGGGACTGTGAATGTGGCTTCAGAGGGACGAGGCCTGCTGGATACTGTAAAGAGACTTTGAAATCACAGACACTTATTTTTGTGTGGAAGCACACGCTGTTGATATAAGAGCAAGTTTATCTAGGGACACCTCCGCTCTGTGGGAATATAATAATCACCAGTGAGAAGTCTGGTGGATTCATAGAAGTGCGTCCATGATTCGGCAGCACGGTGTGGGCTTTCAGGTCTTATGGTATCTCTGTCACTGCTGACTTGTTGCGATGACATCTCCCTCAAACCAAACACTAGTTGAACCTTTCTCTTGAGACGACTTCAAGTACTCCTCTGCAGTCTTCTTTTTTTTTTTTTGATCTGCCTACAATGCCTCCACTTCCCCTCCTCTGTCTGTCCTCTCCTATAGGAGCCCCCTGCACTGACAGCAGGGACACAGACAACTATGGGCCTGTCACCTCCAGACCGTCCGTGAGCCAGGTCTGACCACAGCTGCACGCTGTCCCCTCATGGCATTGCACTAATCTTCACTCAGAAGAGGGGTCGAAATGAATGGTTCAAAGGAAGAGTGAAGAAGTGGGAGAGGAGAGAGCTGATGGAGATGGGTTGAGAGCAGAGGGGCAGCTGCTTTGACGGCTTCAGCCCACGGTTAGCATGAGTCATACACACCTTATTCAACACAACACACACATAAATCTGCCTCCCCACAGGCCTCCCTGTCTAATTGTTTTCTGTGTAGGAAGATTATTTGTGGGATAAAGGTATATTATAATTGAAACTGCAGAAATTCTGATGATACAATTCTATTGTCAATGTGAATGTGTGTGTTGAGGTGATTCCCAGTCTTTATATCAAAGGGTCTGAACCTGCCACTCACCCATTCTCACCTATTTTGGGGAGTTAACTAAATGACTCCCATTAACTTATGACTTTGGGTTCAGTGTGTTGATGTTACAGTTCTCATACAAGATGTGGTACATTGAGTACTTTGAAATGTTACAGAGTACTGAGACACTTTTCACAGGTCAGAGCTTTTCTTTTGATTTGTGCAGAAGTGTCATTCTTTAATATATTCATTCCCTCCCCACTAAAGGGACTCTGCCACCATGCTGATAGAAATGAAAGGTTGGGAGGGAGGCCAGTAGCTGAAAAGGGGGACATGTAACAGACGTGTGTGCATGGTACTTATAGCTGTGACAGATTTATGATGCAGGGTGCCATAAATTATAACACAACTAGAGTCACAGTCTTAGCGCTGATTGAAAGCTGCAGTATCTCAAGTTTAACAATATTTTTTTCAAAGTTACTGATCACTTAAACATACATCACATCAGTATGTTTGTGACAGCCATGCTTACACAGGAAGCTCTTCACACTTGATTAGTTTGGTTCAGTGAATGTTATGTCATTGTATGTGGCTTTATTGTGCGCTTAGTTCTGGTGCTTGTTCTACCAGAGCTCATTGATTTCCAAGCATCCCTATATGGCCCTAAACATGAAGAGAATATATGGTATTGATATTCTATCAATAAAGTGCTTCTCTGTCACCCAGTTATCAATCCAAACATTATATTGACTGTTGGCTACATGGTGGAGCACTTTAGCCTTAGATGTATAATCATTATTCCTCTTTGGTTTTGTTTTACATCCTGAGATTTCCTAAATTAATAAACAGCATAGTGTTCTCATCTCGTACCTTTTAATTCACTTGTAAAAGGTTGGTTATGTGTTTTCTTTCACCCAGACTCTGTGTTCACACACTTTCATAAAGCTTAGATTCGTTCTCTCAGATGCTAGAACAAACATTTGTATACTTATACGCTAAGAAGTTTTATTACTATAATATTAAAATTTTATTTCAAATAGAAATTCCAAACTTTTGCCACTACATTTATCCCTGCATGTGCAAACAGATGTGAGACATATGAATTACCCCAAAAATATGAGCGTTTGCTTACCAGTATATTACGTAATAAAGCCGAAACAGCCAACAAAACAGTAGCAAATATTTATGATTAACAATTAATCATTTAGATGTTTTTTTCCAGAAAACATAGCCTGGTTTCCAGATTCTCAGTTGTGTGGATTTCCTGCTTTTCTATCTTAAATATCATGCAAATTGAATATGTTTGTTCTTTTTTTGGCTCTAGAAATGTGGCATGGGCATTTCACATTTAACAGATCAAAAACAAAATTGTGCAGATATCTCTACTTCTGTATAACTTTTAAAAACATTGAATGCAGAGACTTTCTCGTGAATAACAGAATATTTGCACATCCTCACATTGTGTTTTGTTTAACTTTACAAAATTAAAGAGTCTAAAAACCCCTTCAAATACTTGGGACACTTCATCTTTGCTTTGGCAAACATTTAAGCAGATATCAGGCAGAGAGAATACCTGGCACATTGTCACAGGCTTTTTTTCGTGACAGGAAACTGATATGAGTAACTATGTTTGAGGAGTAAGGTTCCTGCAATTTCCGCTCCATGTGTGAAAGCTGTCTAATCATATCAGATACTTCCCAGCTCACCTCTGGTCCTCCTCCACCTGTCTCCTGTACTCAGATGCTATAATTCACCATGGTTGCACGAGTGTTGTGGAGTGTAGGCCCATCATGTATTAAACTGCATACCATGGTTGCTTTACACAAACTATGTGTAAAAACATTGCTCAACTCTGGTGCCTTCAATGCTCCATTTGTCCTGACTGCTCTCCTCGTTCAGCTCTGTGTCATCAGCTGACCCAGACTCGAATGGATCGCGCATCACATCAAGGATCAATCCTGCACTTCACCACCCGCTGACCCCCACACGTCGCCAGGATTGGCTATAATGAAAACCCCGTACGGATTCTCAGCACTGAGTGCTGCATGGCGTCAAGGTCGTTTGAGGGTAAAATACCGCGTCTTCTTAGCGAGACTGACAAAATACACCAAACCTCCACAGTCATGTGCACGCACCTCACAGCACACCTCATGACGTTTTGATAAGTGATGACTTTAAAATATGTCAACGTCTAATCAATAATCTAACAATAATCGATGTGCGCCAGAGGAACAGTCACAATAAGCACCATCTCTCAGTGCATTGTGATGTGATGTCCTCACCGGAATGGCTGCACGTGTTTGCACCTCAGAATAACAGTATCAACAACAGTCTGCACACAGCAGCAGCAGCAGCAGCAGCAGCATCCTGCAGAGTAGGAACCTAACACAACAACTCAGCATCATTCCCCGAATCCTCTCCGTTAAATGTGCACCTACACTGTTGCATTTTACGCAAGGTCTGCACAAAGAACTGCAACTGTGCCGATCCTTTCTTGTCATCAAACCGTGCCTCAACTATGAAAGTGTTATTCCAGCAGCAGATGATGAGTTTCGTGTCGAGCAGAGAATTTCTCAGTTGTTGGAGCTTGTGTACAGCCTGGTCTCTGCTGTTCCATGCGCGCCAGAGCAGCGCGCCATGGATGATATATTTAAAACACACTTTACCTGGTAGCTCAGTATGCTCTCTGGATCGTTGACGGGCATGTTGGTGGCCTCCGGGTTAACGTGCTCGGTCTCTGCGGGGTGTAAAGGTGAGGACAGGGTGTGATCAGCCTCTGTGCTTGACTGAGGACGTTTCTCTTTTAGAAGAAAGCGGTCACAAGTTGGCCACAGCAGCTCCTTCTGTTCCTGCAGACATGTTGAGGGTAAACATATTATTCCAGCAGAGGAAAGACGGTGACAGGGCTAATTTTGGACCCCTGTGTTATGATGATTTCTCGGCCGCACTTCCAGCTCCTCTCCCTCCCTCCCTCCTCCTGTCCTGGCTGTGGGAGCAGGATGCAGAGAGCATCACTGCAGCCTCAGCCAATCAGAGCGCAGAGGCACACGACGCACTGCTGCTATCCAGCACAAAACAGCCAAGACCATCAGGAGCTGATAGACTCTTTACAATGAATGTCCACTTCGGCAGCTTGTCACATTTCTGCAGCTGGACTGTGGACTTTGTGACCAGAAATGAGTTTATTTTCTTTTTCTTACATCGTAGACAAAAGAATTTCACCCTGCATCAAGAATTTAAAATGAATAAAACGATTCAATATAAGCAGACAAATGTCAAAATCTAGACAAAACTTTATATTTACTCACTTTGAAAAAGTCTGCTATAAAAGTATTTGGATACTTTAATGAGTAAACTGTTGCAGTAATACCACCATTCAAAAATACTCCATTCAAGTCCTGCATAGTGCAAAAATATTACGTGTATAAAATTGCACTAAAATATAAAATGCACATATAATCACACATTAAAAACAGTAATGAAGTCATGAGGGGTTTAATGGTTTGAAGA